AGAATTATAGCTTGTGTTTAAGTGACTGTGGAAATTAAGTGTATTGCAAAGTTGTATTGAGAAAGAATAAACTAGTTTTATTTAAGAAAGGACTTGTATCGCTTAAGTTTCTCGGGAAGAATTTCTATCGGAAATTATCAAACGAGCAGAGACGTAACAATATATAAAAGCCAGTGTGTGTGTAATTGATATTTAATACACACTAAAAACCAGGTGAGCAAATATAGCTAAACTAAACGATAGAATTGCTTGTTTGTTTAATTGTTGTCAGGCACAAAGCTACACAATGGGTTATACGTATTTTCCCCAACACGGATATCGAAACTCGATTTTTAGGATTATAAGCCTTTATACTTACCGCTGATCCACTGAAGGGGTAAACGGTGGAAGGAAAATTACACAGCGAATGAACAAAACCATACCTAAATATACTGTTACGTTTCCAGTCGTTAGTTGATTTTCCGTAACTTCGTTCCGACTAAACTTTAGCGACACAAGTCCTTTCTTAATAAAACTAGTTTATTCTTTCCGAATACAACTTTACGATACACTTAATTTCAACAGTCGCGCTATAACAAACGCTATAACAACGAATGTCTCACGTGCTCAACTTCAACACTACTCTCTTACTGCAGTTCAATTACACATTACCTCTGTTGTCCCGTCACGTTGTGAACGTCTTATATATACAAGACTAACACATATCTAGTAAATGCTAGGGCATTCTTGAAGGAACAGGATATTTCTAGAAACAGGTGGCGTGATACTAGTCACGTGACCTCGCTGACGCAACAATACAATAGAAATTACTACGTAACAAAGTAATGATATGCAAAACATGAAAATTGCTCAATTTGAGTAAAAATAAAACAGGAACTTCGCCATTTAAAAATCAGAATATTAAGATCATTATAACTTTACAATCGATATATTCAACTATTTAAACGCAAATTATGACAAAAATCAAACGTGAATGACATTAAAGATCAAATATTGATTAAACTTCTATGATGGGGTGGACTATCGTCAGGAGTAAAAGTTAAAACTATGTACTGACCTATTTATATACCTTCACCATCTTCAATTTAAATAAACCTACATTACACTCCAGGCGCCATATCGATCATACTTTTTTTTGTGGGATAAGTGTAAATAAAATATTTTTAAAATCAGTTTGTGCGTATTAAATACTAACTGCAAACAAAATGTTTTTTTTACAAACTCTTCATTTTGTAGGTAGCGCTCACTGTTCGCAGTGGGCAGTGGGTGTTTCGATTAAATAGAAATAGTAATTTTAAGGGATTTTAATTTTTGGCGAATTGAAGTGACCAATTATATTTGTTTTTTAAGTCTATGGTCAAATACAAATATGATTATTCTGGTTTTCAGTTATAATCTAAATTAATATTCTGTTTCTTGAATATTATAAGAGTGATTTTTAAAGGAAAGTGCATTCCAATTTGTACTTTTCAGTTTTTGTACAACCGCTGCGTGACGGTTGTGAGGTTATTAATGTGTAACGCTTCGTATTTAGAACTTAAGGAAAGAAGCAGAAGTACAGCATAAACAGAAGAGATACTATAGTCTTAAGGTATTACCAGTATTGCAGCGCACTATTTTCGTAACGTAGGCTAAAGCCTGTATAAGAAATTGAGCTTTTCGAGTTTCAAGAATTCACTGAATTGTAATTTTAGGCTTATTTATATCAGCACTGAACCAGAGTCAGACACTTCAAAGATTGGTTTTGGAACATGAGTAAACAATAGAAAAAGGATTATAATATTTTCATGCAAGAAATGTATGAAAAAACAAACATATGAAGTACCGAGATGAATCCTACATTTGTGTCCTAAGTTTGGATCTTAACATCATACTCCAAGTTCAGATTCAAGAGATAATACTTTCTCTTAAAAGTTATATGTTTTCGTAATTAATTTTTAAATATATTGCTTCGTATCATATATGTTAACTTGTACGTTGTATACATTAACGTTGTTGTTTTTATGAGGAGTTTTGCTTGAAAGTATAAATATAAGTTTATAGTAATTAAATGCAAACAAATAAATGCATTTTCTGTTAGATTTCTGATCTATGCAAAATGAGTGTGAAAGCCTTTGACCTGGTCCCTGCCACAGAAATAACCTTGTCTGAACGAGTTGGAACAACAGTAAGTATCTAGCCTGCATCTACATTAATTTTAGTTAGTTTTACAGACTAATATTTTGTTTGAACATAATTTTGAAAAACTAAAGAAACTATGATATTCCTACTTCTTGGTTTAATAAACACATTAAATTTACTATTTGATACTTTTGCTTACTGAACAAATTTATGGTATGTTCTATCTGATGTTGGTAAATGATATGTAATGGTAGTTTTAAATTAATTACACATCAGATGTTTCATTGGAATGTAAAAGAGGTAGTAATTATAACAGAAGGAATAATTCATTGCCAAGTGTGATATTTCAAAATAGCAATGATTGGTGAAATACAAGTTATTTATTTAAGCAGTTATTTTGCATATAAGCTTCAGACATTGTGAGAGAATGTGCTATATTTGACATAAATTAAACAAAATTGTTGAACCATAAATTTCAAGTGCTTAGGTTGATATTGAGATAGGTAAATATAGACTGTTCGATTGTAAAAACTTTAGTTTTTGAAAATAAAAGGCAATACATTTTAATATTAAATTAAATTATAGGGCAGTATACATACATTATCAGTCAAAATTGTCCCTATTTTCAAATAAACAAAAATCTAAAATTTCAATGTGATGAAAGTTGTCACATAAAGATGCTATTTTAATAAGATTATTAACTTGAAATAGTATATGAAAAAGTTCATGCTTTCTATCATGGTGACTTGATGTTTCTTGTGTATTATGTCTACAGCAAAATAATTGTTAATGTGAAAAAACACCAAGTTATAAAAAGACCCCAGCAATACAAATTGGAGATATTAGACACAAGCCATGTTATAAACTACTGTTACATTTATTATTGTAATAATTAGTAGCAGTATTAATATCATAATAACAATTACTAGTAGTATTAATATCATAGTAATAATTAGTAGTAGTATTAATGTCATAGTAATAATTAGTAGTTGTATTAATGTCATAATCATAATTAGTAGTAATATTAATACCATAATAACAATTAGTAGTAGTATTAATATCATAACAATTAGTATTAGTTTTAATGGAATGGATGGCTTGCATTTAAATAGGGTAGGGACTGGGTTGTTTGCAAATACTATTAACTCAACTGTAAGGGAAGTTTAAAACTAGGACTAGATAGTGGTGAGGACTAGTATAAAGTAAATGTCCTAAAAATATGATGTGGAGAAAGTTTAGCATAGGAAATGAAGATAGAAGTAGTTCTAAGAGAAGGCTTAATTATTACTATTGTAATGCTAGAAATATAAGAAATAAAATGGATAATTTTATAGTACTGGTAGGAATGGAGGATTTTGATATAATGGGAATAACTAAAACAAAGCAAATTCTGAAGGGATGTGACAAGAATTATCTGTTGTGAATTCGGCAGCAGTTATTTGGAGACACTGATCAAATGTAGAAAATTATTAAAGATAAATTTGTAAATATTCAAGGTAAACATATTCCTCATAGAAAGAAAAGGGTTGCTGCAATTAAAAAACCAGGTTGTCTCACAAAGAGTGTAAGAGATAAAGTTAAAGAAAAGCGTCATAAA